CCTCACACTCCAGAACCCTTTCATTCTGTTTTTCTTCAGAATGAAAGGAATTATTAAATACTGCAACTCCTACATTATAGTTAAGTACTGTGTTAAAGAAACATGGAGCATAATTATCTTATATACACTCAATGGCCAGATTATTAGGTACACATGTACAATTGTATGCACTTAAATGCAACACTTTGACTCAAAATGTTTCAGTTTTTGGTGAAATTGTCATAAATGCATAAATTCAATTATGCTTATTATTGAGGTCATAGTTAAAGGTGGTGTTGTACTGGACTACATATATTCAGATGTTCCTAATATTTTTGTCCTCCCCAGCTACATACATGGGAGGATCAGAATGTTAGAAACACCTCTGAGTATAGTGTAGTCCAGTACAACACCACCTTTAATTACGACCTCAATAATAAGCATATAACTGAATTTATACATTTATGACAACTTCACCAAAACCTGAAACATTTTGAGCTTCATAAACACAGATGTTAAGGCGGAAATGTTTCACTGAATTGCATACAATTGTACAGGTGTACCTGATCAAGTGGCCGGTGAGTGTAGTTCCTTTGACTGTCGCTCCTTTTGCTGCTTGTCTCCCACTCTGCAGCCTAATCCTGGAACAGGGAGCCTGTGGAAACAGAGGAGTTGGAGCAGACAAATGAAGCACTCTATGGTGTTTGACAGTCTCTGAGAAAAATGATGACATTTCCCAGCTCTCCCTCTGGTACAGCCTGCCCAGCCCAAGCTCCTCCTCCAAGCCTTTTTGCTTGCTAGCCATACTCCATGACCATAATGAAACAAGAGGAAACGTGTCAGGAGAAAGAGGAGGGAGTGTTGTTTTCCTATTCTCTTCACTGGTTTTCATGAGCGCCAGATGGAACAATTAATCCCCAATCAACACAGGAATATTAAGTAGCCTTAACTCCTGCATGAGGGATTCTGCCAAGCTTTTTTGTGTCCCTTTGGCTGATGTCTATCCAGCTAAACACACTACTTCAGTTAGTTGTGTCGATCTGCAATCATATCTGACAGATGGAAAGGGTTCTGATAAGACTCACTGCAGCTTCCATAATACTCGCGCTGAAGATCTGCCTTCAGCACGGCCCTCGAGGATGATTGTGACAGTCTTACTCTGCATCATGATCATGAACTAGATTTATACAGTGAAATTTTAATGTCAATACGTTTCGGGAATTGGTCAACTTTACATGTGGCTTTTAACTTGTCAAAATTAAATATGCATTTCTTCCCACACATACAGTCTACACTCAAAACAGAATGTTGTCTTATACTTTTATCATGCATGTTTTAATATAGTTAAACTAGCATAAAGTATGCAAATACATATTCACTCAAACATGCTGGTAAACAAAATCTGTTTGCAACTAATTATTTAGCATTTGCTATGTTTATCAATTCAAATGCAGCTCTGCACACCCTTCTTGGCTAAAACTGCTCCATATGTACAGAGTCATCATGAATTATCTTATTGGTTTGGAACAAAACAATGGTGATTATTCGTGAGAGATCATTTGCTAGACAACTGGGCCAGGAGATCATCAGGTAAATGTTAAGCTGGAAGGAAATACTGTATGTGCTGGCATGGAGTAGATGGACCAAGACACATCTGCTGGCTGCACATGGATATGTAGCAGCTGTAGCCAGAAGAGAAATGTGCTTTCATTCAAAGCCTCTGAGACGACCGCCAGCTTTCCCACCACAAATGCAGTAAACCAGCTTAGTGGAGTGTAACAAAACAATGAAACCTCTTTTTTCATTTTCTGTGTGGCAAAGTAAGAACATTCAAAAAGTCTGTGCTTGTGATGCGACTAAGTGCACAAGTCTCAGTATCTTGTGTCACTTTAAGCTGTTCTGAGCTGTTTCGAGCAAACAGACAGGTTTAGTTGAAAACTTCACCAAAACTCACAGTTCTTTCAACTATGAGCCTACAGCAAAGCACAGTCTCAAAAGTGTTCTCATCTGTGTCCCATCTTATTATTTGTCCTCCAAGTATGAGGACAAGCGAGAAAGAACATACTGCAGCTTAGCTCGACTCCTCAGGCATCTCCTCTGTCTCACCGACTGCTGCTTCCATCGATATCTCCAAAGACTGAGGGCAGAATGTAGTGACAGAGGTAGTAAAGTGGGGCAAGTTAATCTGTTAAGATGTCAGCTTCAGCCACATGTGATGCTGCTTCGACTGAGGGACGGTTTCTGTGGCAGGAGACTCAGACACTGCCGGCAGCTTGCGAGGGCTTACTGACAAAAGTGATTGATGCACTTCTTCTGCAAGGAGAAAAGGCAGCCTCAGGCAGTAGACACTAATAGTCCATTAGCTTTTTTATGCTTCCAAATTAACTGCATACATTGCTTTATAGCTTACATGTAGCACTG